TAACTGTATTAATGTAAACAAAGAACATTGAAGTAGGTGTAACAGATTCATATTATCAAAAAATGTGCATATATGTATTTATGTATACTTTATTGTATATCATCGTCATATTGTATCGGAATTTAAACAATTTCACCAGTATAAGAGTTATATTTTCATTTATAATATACAAACAAAATATAACTTTATATATTGCTTTGATGTCTGTGACAGCAGATTTTTATCTGCCCGCGGACCTCTTTCGCCGAAGCTTTCAAAGCCGCCGGGCTAACAGCAAACTACACGTAACAAAAAATTTCTCCTTTACTCAGGAAAGTTCATTCATTAATAATTGACGAGTTTTTTCCGATACTCGTTCCGATACTAGTAGTTAGACCGTGGGGGGGCACGGTCTAACTACTGCGGAATCTGATAAATTACCCCGCAACTCCATCCACTCAGGTCGCAGAGTACAGGGAGACTGGCTCCTTCTCTACCCCCCGCACCCTCCTAGAACGAATCCAGAAGGGGCCCAATGGGCCCACTCCGAGCGCCCCTCTCGTGGCGGCCTCATAGCACAAGACAGTGTGAGTCCCTCACGTCTTCGTCGTGGGTGACCAAGCCACGGCTACTAAGCTTCTTCACTACGACAGAGCCCAGTTGAGAGGGTGGCATTGTATATATACCTGCACGATAGTCACTAAAATACCATATAGATCAAGTAAGCTTATGTTAAATGAATGAATTCGTCTAATGTAGAATAAACAACAATAAAACAAGGTTTACGCCTTATTCTTTGAAAAAAAAAAAACATAACAATGATAATTTATAGATACAGCAAAGATATTACAGTTCAAATGAAAATAACTTTCCATTCGATGTATTAGGAAGCGTAAACATTACTTTCCTCAAGACCTTTTCTTTTTAGATCTTTGCTTTTAAATATCGTAGTATACATACAGTTTTATATTGGAAAGTAAGCTGTATTTAATAATTCACATAAAAAATCCTTATTGCGTGAAACCTAAATTATTATATCAAATCTTGTTCGTGGTAAGGTAAAAATATACGTTAATATATAAATCAATCATCCTATTAAAGCAGCGGCGTCGACTTCGAAGAACTTCGTTCTCTATTTTGCTTCAACCCTTCCTAATTCGATATTATTCTCTGATCTTATCTAATTCGTAGCTCGAGGCTGTAGACTATTCTTTTATTTATAAAGTTGCCTTAAAGCAAAAGATGTCGTGCTTTATGCATTATGTTCTCTCGCATCATATAGTTATATAAAACAATATAATGGAAAACTTTATTTGTGAAATGTAATAAAAATACGCAACTTTAATTTTATGGAGTCAGATGTCCAAAATATTTCGTCTTTCTTGTATTTCTTTCTTCTTTCCTTTCTTATACAGCGTGTCTTTACCATTGCGACAATAAATGAACACCCATATAAAAAGTATTAAAGTCTTACATTCTTTAAACATCAATATTTAATGAGTTATCAAATTTTCCAAAACAAAGAATTTTAGAATATTACGTATAAAACTTTAATGTAAAGTTCATTTGTAATAAGCATATGAATGGGTTGAATGAATTTAAAAGTGACAAAACATACTGTTAGAAGGAGAGGCTTGTAATGCGGCGCTGTGGCAACGAATTAATCAGTCAGATGTGTTAATTAGTTAGTTTGAAAAATATTTTTTTTTTTAATTATGGATTTTTTTAACGTGAATATTTTTTATGATTATTGGCAAGTAGCGTTAGACGTGTGTTCATTTATTGTCGCGGTGGTAAAGACACTCTGTATATTATTTTTTGTTTGAGGTCTTGTAAACCTTCATCGATCACAGAAACCCACGTTAAAAATGGTATCGTATCCCCAGGTTTACTATAGTTTATACAATGTGTATGAACTATAGTTAACTATAGTTAAAGCGCGCGTGTGTATTTTAACTTTGAGTAACAACTATCGGTTGAATTTAATTTTTTAATACGTAATTTTCGATTCCCAGATATTGGTAGCAGCCAAGGGTGAGAACAACCTTGGATTATGGAGGAACTTAGTGTAAGCGATGTGATTTCGCAGTGATCGAGGTGTAATTCACTGGGTACTTTAGTCGAGAGCTTCATTGCCTACTTCATTTTGCTTAACATTGTATATTACTAATAAAATATAAGAAGTCTAAGTTATAGAGGAGTTAGAAGGAGTAGTAATAAAATTCAGCACTGAATATGTAGGTATATCATAAAATATATATATGTTATGTAAAAATTAATTTATATTGTTTGCGTTTTATTTGATTCACAGATAAGGTTAGAGAAAAACACAAATATAAAATAATTCTTACAATATTTTTGGGTAAACAAAGTTGATTTGTTCAAAATATTTTATGTAGATAACGTTTAAGGAGAAATGATGCTTTACGAGTTAAGTAATTTATTTTCTTATTGTTGTGTTTGTCGTCTTGTGTAATAAATTAAATGTTTATTATTTATTATTTTAATAGTAAGCAGTAGGATAAAAAACTGCCCAAGTGCGAGTTGGACTCGGGCACGAAGGGTTTCGTACCATTATCTAGTATTTAATTGTATTTCTATGAGCGCCCATACAACTCAGAGGACTATCTTAATTGGCTACCACTATGTATGTATTGGGACACCCTTTAATTTTCAACTTTTTAGTTTCTGGATTTTTTCCTTTTATTTGTGCTGTAATACCTTGCTTTTTATAAATAAAGTGAAAATAAAAATAAATTAAAAAGCTGAAAATTAAGGTAAATTTTGTTACTTAGAAGTTTGCGATAGGATGATGTTGATTTTTATACACCTAAAAGGGACTATAGACTTCGTTATCTGCTATAAATAAAATTGAAAATCGGTGGTGACACACGGGCAGACAGACGGACAAGAGAGTGATCTCATAAGGGTTCCTTTTTTATCTTTTGAGGTACGGAGCCCTGATAAATGAATTTATGTGCAAAATCGGTTAAACTCATCATCATTATCATTACCATCATCCGCATCCACTGTTGAACAAAGGCCTCTTAGAATGGTACAAATAGCTATATCAGGTTAAGGAAGTAATATGGTTTTTATTAAAGATTTAATTAAGATAGTGCTGTCCGTTCAAGCAATTTTAATTTACAACAGTAATATTTTATAAACAGTAAGTTGAATTACTAAGTCTCAATTACGTTTTGGAAAAATATTGTAACAAAGACGTAAGTAATTATAACAAATACATAATTTGTGACATGAACACTTTGACCTATTAACGTCCTAGCTAATACTGTAAATTACAAAAACAACTATACCTATGTATATATAACTATAAAAATATATGACATCCAGTATATTTCACCAGGAGTAGTTATTTTATTGCTTCATTATTTAGGAGAAGTATCAACGACTTAAGAAGTATACATGATGAAATTATGATGTCATGAATAATTCTCGAGGATGTTGTAGCCGCGTCGACATTACGCCTAACGAGGCGCCACCCGCCACGAAGCCTCCCGCGCGCAGTCCGTCACATAACACACAATGCACTCAGCGCAATCGACGGCGAATGCGAGGTCCCAGATTCGCGGCCTACACGCGATATACTCGTGTGCCTGGTCGTTTTTGAATTATTACGTCGTGTTGTCATTGTCATTTATTGACGAGTGTATGGGCGCTCGTAATTGCTGCGTGATTAATTGTATAACCTTTATTTTTTAGACGATGTTTTCGTGAATGCATTGTTTTTATTAACATTGTTAACACCGTTAACACATGTTAATAAAGATGAACAAATCTCGTAAACAAATTGCTCTCATGAATAATTGTTTGTATAATTATTCATCCATAAGCGATAGCGCAACGCCAGTACGTCTCGGGATTAAATCACAATTTCAACCTAATTCCTTTCTCTGGGTAGGTCCCCATATCGATTGCGATCCAGCGGAGTGGACGGCGTTTTCTTGTCGTCGTCGTGCACCAGCTACGTTGTTCTCCTGAGTCCGTGGGTCGTCTGTCCGCGGACCTCTTCCGCCGAAGCTGTCAAAGCCGCCGGGCTAACAGCAAAATACACGTCACAAAAAAAATCGAGGATGTTGAAATGAAAAAACAACCCCAATTTACTAGAGAAGCTATTGAGGTGCTTTTAATCAATGACCTGAGTTTCTATAAATAATAAAACTGAAGCTAATCGATTCTTCCAGAACACAAAGTTTGTTCGGGTTTGATTGATCCAATGGTTTCGTGTCATTATGATGCGCATCATTCCAACCTGCCGTGTGATCGTGGAGGGTATAATCTGTGATTAAACTAATAATAATAATTAATTAATTATTCTAACATATTTCAGTATTTGGTTTTTAATTGTGATCTTGGCGGTGAAGAAAAATATCACGAGGAAACCTGCATATATTCGATATAGTAAATGGAAACTATTTAGAAGATATGTGAAGTATTGCAATCCGCAGTGGAGTCGCGTGGGTATTAGGGCATAGTCCACCTATGCCCTAATACCCGTACAGAGGTATTTGCCCACCTGTGGGCTATGTATAGGTTGATACTTTACTTTACCTACACGAATAATTTCTATGATGTTAATAATGCCTTAAATATTAAAATTCTATATAAATTTAATTCGAATGCTGGTAAGGTTGCTGGTTGTTACAATATCTTGCTTGCTTGTTTTTTTCCATTTTTAAGAATATTAAATAAGTTTAATAAGGTTTATTTCTTCTACCTAATATGTGCTATTTGAATTCATTCATTCTCTTATAAGTTACAGAAGGAGAAGACAACTTCTTATGAAAATAGTTAGCCATGGGAAACATAACAAACTTAGCTCCCTCGTTTAAGTTTAAACCAAGTAAAAAGTTAGCGTGCGGCATGAATACTAGTGCAGTTTTTAATGTAGTTTCAGAAGCGTATATAAAACGTTTATCCTTTGGTTATAACATAATTTCAAAGTTCCAATAAGAAGAAGAGTTTATTTTATGGGGCCACTTAGTAGGTTCTGTTGTTGCATGAATGGGCTGGCTTGTCCGCAGAAGTTCCACGGCTGTCCAGAATACCTTGGTAACTAAAAACTATTACACGTATTTCGTCAGGTAAAATATTTTTTTACCCGACTATGCGATGCAAAGCAGGATAAAGGGTTTATCAGTCCATGTATTCATGTATGTTTGTTCCTATGTGGCGTAGTAGAGAACAAAGTGGTCGTCTTAACGTTGTGAGTATCATTAACAATAATCAAAATACACAACAATGAAAACCAGACGACATATTGTTAAAATGAAAAAAGCTCAATGAACTACGTTAAGTGTGATATCTTTGAAAATATTTCATTTAATTTTTCATACAGCGATTAAAAGTTGATCTATCAACCATACTTACTCATTTTCATATTATTACTTATATATTATAACAGACACTTTTAAATATACTTGAGGTTTTCGTTATTCTGCCCTTATTATGCGAATTTAAGAGAAACAAGCCCAGAGTATTAGAATGCTGTTAAAGTAATACTTAACAACTACATTAGATTTTCGAAATACCATTGAAATAATTTTATAATCGATTTAGACATAAGAAAATCATAAATTCTTATGAAAAATAGAACGATTACAGATAAAAGTCGGGACCTATTTAAACTTTACATGGATCTTTGGGAAGATTTGATTTGTAAATAAAAGAATGCTATAATATGTTGAAAAATATTCTAAACCGTATTGTATTCGCTGATTAGCCCAAGTCGGCTTCGCGCCCCTCGATGACCAGAGTCGGGACGAGAGACCGGCATTTTCAGCTTCCATCACCAGGTCGACTTCCATCTTCTTAGGCGAGGAGGTGCGCGAATACGCTAAGTTCGTGCAGGCGAAGTCGTGGGATGAGGAACGGAGAGCGAGGGACGTACCGATCGTCTGTATTTATGGTCGTTATGTGCGCTCGTAATATACGGAAGTTGCTTGGTGCTAAGGCTACTACTTAGTTGGTATAGGTTAGTGAAGTTATGCACTGCGTTAGTTCTTGGACGCGCGATGGATCTTGAATGAATTACTTTACTTTGTTACAGATTGAAGCTATTTCTTTTATTTGTCACGGCTGTACCTATAAATCCTTAATTGAAACAAACCGTTCGTAATAGATTGAATACCATTAAAAAGTATGTGTTTTTATGTACATACGTAAGAAGTTATAGTTCTCTAGCGTAAATACATTAAATGCAATTGGTAATGGTTTACTTAAATAACTTGCAATTATTAGTAATGTCGTAAAGTTGGTTGGCAACCAACTTCATCATGTCGCTTTTTGATGGTCGGTGTGCACGCGCATCTTAAAAATTTTACTCACATAGTTTTTTCAATATCCAGGTTTTTTAATAAAGCAAATGTAACATCGACGGCCGCCTCAAGTTAAACTTGCTCTATGCCACTATCTCTTGACCTCTTTCCACGTATACGAGTTAGCAATGTCAATAACCAACCAGAATTAATTAATGCGCTGAAACGCAACTGCTATTTGAATTCACAAATGAATTGTTCTTTGTGTTAATCGGCATCAATTGTATGTATTCAGTAAGAATGTTTTAACATTTTGATGACTTCACTCAATGAAACTGAATTAAATTGTTTTGTTAAACAATTAATGAAATGTAGAAACTTAGTTATCAGGTTTCGGATTTTTGATTTTCGGATTCGATTCTAACTGAAACCGTCTAGATCTAGATTATCATTCAAATTTCAAGGTCATTTATAATGTGAACTCTCAATCATGTCACGACTAATATTAGTCTAATGATTCGTCCAGTAAATTTTCAAACGAATTCAAAACACAATATTGTTAATTTATAAAACGTTTTTAATTCGGTTAAAATTGATTCGCTACACCTGATTAGGTTTGGCGACTCAATTTTATCCCATGTCATATACCGTAGTATAATATTAATTTATTAATCAAAAATAATAACAGTTTATATATTTCAAAATTTTGTATTATAACAATAAATGATGTTCTTATATGTTCACCAATGACAGGTATGCACAACTTTTACAAATAATATGGCACGTCCCTTTATTAGAAAAGAATTTAAAATTACCACAAATAATTAATGGAAAAAATCTTACTATAAAAATAAAACAAATATCATATAATTCGTGAAGCTTTGTATTACTTTTTATTTGTTGAATGACAGAGACCTGTAGAACGATGGTTGCTTAAATGATTTACGGCAATGATTAAGTATTATGTTTGTGTAGTATAATATGCATGTGAATGGTTTTGTATGTGAGTATGAATAAAATAATTATTTATAACGAACAGGATATCCATGTTATAAGATAATTTAATCGACATGTTATATAACAGTAACCTTTCCACATATGGCAATTTACGGCAGCTTGAAATGAAACATTATGAAAATGTAGGTGTATGTTGATGTTGGTGTTGAATGTAAACATTATGAAAGATGGATTACCAGCACCACGTAACTTTAATATTCAACACAATGGCCTTTTTTTACCAAGGTGAGGCTTTTAAAATAAAAAAAAAATACAGTGCAGCGATAAACCTGTAGCAGTTTGCACTCTTCCACCACAAGTATTCACCTGTCTCCCCGTGGATGGTATATTTGGAATGGTTTCTGTAGTATGACCAGAGCTACTAAGGGAGAAAGCAACTGAGAAAGCGCTCGAGAAAACACCAATGAACAATCCAGGGAGGAGAAAATACCATAGCTACGCAAGCCCACTTTATTAAAAAGTAGCAGCGCATCTACAACCCTACGGGTATTGCAAAAGTTCATGGGCAGCGGATATAGTTTAGCATTAGGTGAACCACTAGCTCGCTTGTCATCGTCTCATATAAAAAAAAGAAGACTGAAGGTTTCGTCTCTACGGGGACACCATATTATGCTGCACCATATTAAGGCTGATACCTTCCTAGGGGACAAATTTGATCATACCAACTACGAATCAGTAGACGGTGTCGCCCTGCAGAACGTTGATTAGTTTCTATTTTCCTTTGATAGCAACATTGGTTTTTGGTGATGTGTGGCCTCCTGCATAAAAATTAAGCGTTCAAATTAACGAAAATAAAAAAATTTAAATTTAGTAGGTACATACCTACTGTACGTCACGTTATACGGTTGATGTATCTGTTGAAGTATTTGCATTTCGCGTCGAGAGACAATGTTTTGATTTCCGGATGAGTATTTATACGCTTTGCTTGTTATAGACGAATCTCCATCAAATTTTTCATAAAAAAACACTGACTGTTTTTGAACCCAATTGGAAAGATATGTTATCATTTGCATACACGAGGATTTTTTTCTTAAACATAAGTATAAGTGTTTTTAAGAATTTATGTATCGAACATAATTAAGTTTCGTAGAATAAGCTGTTTTACTTATAGTTAAAAAATATTAGTAATAATTATAAAAGTGTACTAATTACAAAGATGAGTTATCGAGCAGCAATTTACTTAAAACATTTTATACAATTTCTACACAATATTTTCGGTTAATCTATCTTGTTTTTAGTGCAAACAGTATTTATATTATAGTTCAATCTTATCCTTTAAACGAGCAATTCTTGTATATATATATATATATATATATATATAATCGGAATTCTTGTATATATATATATATACACACCGGCACAATTAGCGGAACAGAAAAAAAAGTGAGACTATGAGATAATAACGCATATATTTGACGAAAATGTAATTAGACACAAAATAACAAATTGATTAACATCTTTTAACAACGACTTTGAAAAGTCTTCGTTATTTTTTATTGAAAAATAAAGAAATTTGAAATAAGTGAAATTTTTAGATGATTATGAACCATCACAAAAAATAAAAAAAAGTAAGCATTAAATGATTTAACAATAAAATTAAAGCAAAATTAATAACGAGTGTTTCCCCCTCTTGCTCTGATTACGGTTTCCATTCGTCTGGGCATGCTACAGATTATGTTATCGATGATTTTTTGAGGCAACCGCCCCCACTCCTCAAGTAATGCGTTTCCAAGTTCATTCAGATTGTTGGCGGGTGGCATTCTGGATTTAACCCTTCTTTTTAGCAAGTCCCAGACATGCTCTATCGGATTCATATCGGGGGAATTTGCTGGCCACTGCATCACCGGTATAGCTACGTGGCTCAGATATGCCTGTACCGATTGTGCACTATGAGCACGAGCATTATCTTGCATTAGAATAAAGTCGTCATCAATAAATGGGGCAAATGGTACAACATGTTCTTCTAAAATGTCTCTGATGTATCGATCTGCTGTCATGGTCCCTCCTGTGACTATCACTAACTCCGTACGAGCTCCCAAACATATCCCTCCCCAAACCGTAATCGAGCCGCCACCATAAGCCACTGTGTGTTCAGAATTAGACTGTATGTGGCGTTCTCCTTTGCGTCTCCATATTCGCTGTCTCCCATCGATCTGTTTTAAAAGAACTCTGCACTCATCAGTAAAGAGAACCTGCTGCCATTCGTTCAAATCCCAATGACGATGTTCTCGCGCATAGCTTAATCGGTTTACGCGGTGACGTCTCTCAAGTTTTGGGCCTTTGGCAGGTATATACGACCCTAAACCAACTTCTTCAAATCTCCTGCGAACTGTACGCTCACTTACTCGTACTCCTCGAACGTCTTCCAGTTCATTTCGAGCTTGTACAGCCGTTAATCGCGTATTCCTACGAACTCCAAGTTGTAAAAAACTGTCATCTCGCCTCGATGTACATCTTTTTCTACCTTGACCCCTCCTCCTCACAAAAGAATTAGACGATCTGTACCGCTGGATGCTGCGATGAATCGTTGATACTGGTCGACGAAGCCTTGAGGCAATCGATCTGTAGGTATGGCCATTTCTCCTCATTTCATCAGCCCTAATGATTTCCAGTGATATTAAGTCAGGCATAATAAAGAGCTTTTAATAAACAAAATTGCCTATAGAATAACAAATTTATAAAAAACCATTAAGTGCAATTTTTCAAAAAAAAATACAATTACGTAGTTATTACTCGAACAAGTTGACAAAACGTATTGTTCGGGAAAATAAAACAAATGAATGAAAAAAGTGTATGTCATCTAATTTTCTATTTTCAAATTTGACAATAAATTAAAAAAAATATCATAACTGGCCAGTTCCTCAAGTAAAAGATTTTAAAATCCTGCTTTTTTTTGTGTTCCGCTAATTGTGCCGGTGTGTATATATAATCGGAATCTCGGAAACGGCTCCAGCGATTTTCATGAAATTTAGTATGTGCATAGATTCGGGGGCGAAAAATCGATCTAGCTAGGTTTCATTTTTAGAAAATGTCCTTTTATCCCTGTTTTCAGGGAATGAAAAATATAATTCGAATATGACGGTAAATTTCGCCGCAAGAGAAAATGTCATAATAGCTCGGTCGGTATTCGGGCAGCCCCAAAACAGACGGCCGTGGTTCACGTCACGATCATTTACACATTTATTTTTTAACTTTTTTTTCGATTCCAGATCATTGCTTTCTTTATTTTTTATTTTTTGTCGATTTGTTATTTTGTAATTTTTTTTTCCTTTTTTTTTAAGTTCTTTCTTTTGTGAAAAACATCAGTTCGTATTTTCTTATTATTACGTCGGTAAGATCGAAAAATATTATGCATATTTCATTACTCAGTTATTTGTATCTAAATGTAATTTCCAAAATACACGATTTACCAAAAAAAAAAAAAAACAAACCGAGCAAAGCTCGGTCCTCCGGGTACTAATTAATAATCCACTGGAGTGTCTATACCTGACGAATGCGGCGTTCCGTTTCCGTTTCCTTCTGTTTCCTACGACAAAATAGTTTAATGACAAAGTGTCAATATCCATCACTCACTTGATCCGTCGTGTCTACGAAGAACTAATTGTGTAAACACACTATTTTCGTTTTTAGCTATATGGAATATACTTACCT